GCCCCCCCCCCCCCCCATTCTGTGAGCAGTTAAAATCTCTTTTATTTGCAACTTCCCTGAGTAAGCAGAGAAACAGCATCACTACTGAAACAGGATTTGTGATGAACACTAAAATAACTCACAAAAACCTTTTAGACGGGGCTAGGGTGGGTAAGGGGAAGTAGGCTGCATTCATCCCTTTTAGCTAAAAAAGCACTGGTAAAATCTGACTCCCTTCCCCTGCCTTCTGGAAAAGCACAAGCTCTTAATTTAACTAGTGTGTATTGAAGCAAAGATGGTTGTTTAACCGTACTGCACTGCTAAACCCCATCACAGATGGCCATGTTCCTTGGATGGTGGCAGGTCTTTCTCCTCTTTGCAGAATGTTTTCTGTTGCATTCAGTTTGATTGTAGCTGGCGGCTCAAAACCCTCCATAAACTCCAGAGTTTACATGTAAATACACGTAGGAGATGAGCAGGTCTAACCCTGATGTTATACTGGAGGAGGAGGAAGGGTCAGGGCTGCAGCTGCCTTGTGGTGCAACAGCTTGGAAGGACGGGGGCTGAGCACAGAGTGAGCTCTTGTGGGGCTCCCCTCAGAGAAGGGGGCTGGCTTGTGGGTCATGGCCTCCTGTGGAATAACCTGCCACCGTTTAGCCAGTCACCTGCCTCGGGACTACAACGACAATTCAAGAAAAAAATTTCTAAGGCACTAGTTGGTAGGATTTCCCAAAGCCCACTATGGATGCACTAATGGTATGTATTGGGAAAGCCAGGCTTATGACACTAAAGGGTTGCTTTAAAATAGACAGGAATATATATTTTTAAATAGAATAAAATGGAAAGGCAATAAATTGTGATTAGCTCTTTACAGTCAAATGAAAAAATATTTCATTCTATTCTGGACTAGATTTGATGGAAGAGGGAACTCATATTCTGATTGTGTACTTTTTTTAATAATTGCAAATGGCAATAACTAGTAAGCTATGAGCAATAATATTAACAGATCATTAGGATACTGTTTTGTAATGAGTAGAGTGCACATGTAACAGTGGAGTGTTAGGAGCCTGTAAATTTTGGAATTCTGCGTAGACGTAAAAAGTCAGGTATGTACTGGTGAAGAAGTTTAAGCAGCAATGTCTTACACAAAGACAGGCATAAAGAACCCCCTTCCCCCCGCCCTTTCCTACTCCTAGCCTGCCGTTACCACATCCACTTGCTTTTTAATGTTAGACCCTTGGCTCTTGAGCAGGGAGCATTTAAAACACAGTAGAACTCTGCCATAACTGAGTCTTCCAGATGATTCAATCAAACAAAAGAGAAAAGGAAAAAAAAAAAAGCACTTATTAACACCCTATCTTGCTATGCAAGTTATCACTTAATTAAATATTTCAGACTGCGTCCCTGTCATTTGTTTTAAAACTCAGAAGTCTTAACTTTTTGAGGAAGGGGAGTTTTGTATAAGACAGCTAGTATACTTTTAAAATACCATTGCTGGTCCCAAGAAGTTAGATTAATTTCATCACTCGGAGGTCAAAAATCACAGAGGGCACTGGTGAATCTAAAGTTACACAGTTACTCTTGGGACATGTTAAAAGAAAAGTACTTATTTGATCCAATACCACCATAGACAAAAGGTAAAAATGCAGGTAAGTTCTACTCAACATACAGTGACATTTTCTAGACAGGCACTGTTGTTTTCTGTAAGAAAGAAGCTCATGACCATATAGGGAATTGTTTGACAAGCCATAGATGGAATAATCTAAAATTTGATTCTAAATAAACATTTACCCTCACACCAGTTTGCAAGAGGTACCTTGTTAATTTGCACTATTATGAATGCTAATGTTGTGCAGAATTAATGCCTTATCTGTTTCGCTCCCCGACATTTAGGTTAATAAGCTTTCTAATGTTTCAAGTTAAGCTGAACCAAAACCAAAAAAGCTGTAAGAAGACTGCAGTGTGCCCAGCTCTGTAGGTTAGCTTTGTCTCCCATGCTTAGCGCGCAGCAGAAGAGGTGTTGTAAGTACAGCAGTGACAATACAAACCCATGCCTGCATTTTATTGGGATAGAACCATTTGCTGAATTTCTGGTTTTAAGCGTTACCTTTCCTTGTGCAGACTGACCAAGAGATCTTTGATTATGATTGGTGTATTCTGTCAAACTGTAGGCTAGTTGAACTTCTGTAAAGTTGCCCAAAATGCCATTTGTTAGGTTATAAACTCACACAATTCTAAATGAAGGGTTATACGTGTTGTGTATAAATTTCAATTTCAGAAATTTGAGAAAATCGTCATTACATTTGTAAAACTTTGTACAGAAGATTTTTCACTATGTGCCTAGCTTTGGTGTCCATTCAGCTGAAATTAATTAAAAAAGGTGCATGAAGAGAAACAGATAGAAATAAAAAGTATATGTAGAGATGACTATTTTATATTACATGGCCCAATCCTGTATTTATTTTCTCCCTTTTTTGAAGTATTTATAAAGACCTAGTTGAAGACAGCTGTATTTTTTGTTAAAATATTCAGTAGAATTGTGCCTTTTTGTCTGTATGTGAATAAATGCTGTACATTTTTGCAGTATCCTTGCCAGCAGTGTTTTAGAATTTGCAGTAGTAATTTTGTTTGGGTTTTACATAAACACTTCGCTGCAATGAGCTGAAGACCTTTCATGGTTAAATAAGCAATTTGATTTGGATTATTACAGGTATCAAAATGCACACTGCAGTTGCAAGACTTTTATTTTTCTTTTTAGAAATAGTATTGGGTCTTGTTACTGACAGCTGCACCTAGCCCATGAACAGAAAATTGTATGCTTTTTCCCTTGAGATCCTCAAAGAGATGTTGCTTACCTCAAAGAGTTTACATTTGTCAATACACGATGTCCTTCCAAAGTCTGTAATTGTCATGTACGTATTCCACTGGAAGGGCAGCACAAGGTTTTTTGCCTGTCAATCTTCAGGACGCACACACCGAACAAATGTTCACACCATGAACTGCTGAGGGGCAGCTGCTGCTTGAGTAGCACCACCAGGAGACAAGGCCTGAAGGGCACCACAGGTCCTTCCCTCTCACTTCGTCTAACTCAGGGTGCAGAAACATGGAACAGACTTGGAGCAGAGCAAGAAAAGGACGAGGTTGTGAAGTTGTATGTATAGCAGTACATCTCGAAAAACAGCAAGGGATAAATAATTTCTCAGCTCCGTACTTGTATCACATGCATTCACAGTGTGGGCAACTGGGAGTGGTACCCCTCAAAAACATATTTCAAGGAACGAAGGTTAAAGGATGCCCCTCCTAAGAGTTACTAGTACAAGCTTTTCAAGGCATGAGTAAAAGTCTGAGAGGTTCTGACAGCTGCTTTAGAGACCTTGCCTGTCTGACAGGCACTGCTCTGCTGGGGACACCTGAGAACAAGAAGGTCAGAGCAGGGGGCAGCTTGCTAAGCACTTCAGTAGGCTTACCATCAAAGAGTTTCTGGTAGGCAGTGACAGATCTTTCAAGATCTGGCCTGTGCCAGAAGGTGTCAGGCTCTTGGGCAGACCCAAAACTAAACTCACACTACCTTCACAGTTTATCTCACCTGCTGAATGGAATTAACTATTCAACCAGAAACTTTTCCTAAATAGCCAAGAACAGAAGTTCTACTCACTGGGAAGCATTAATGTCACACTAGGGAGTCTTTAAAACGCTCAAAAAACGGTGCTGAGGTGGGAAAGGAAGGTGGGGGAAAAAGAAACTTCAGTGGAAGAGTGACAAGAAATACATAGGAACAAATGTAAAATCACCAAGAACGATGATTGAAAAGCCTGCTGCTCAATTCCATGAAACAATCTAGCATCCTGAGGAAAAGAGCAAAACTTAACTAACCAGCAAGCCTCAAATTTTAATTGCTCCAGCAAGTGCCTTTCCTCTGGATGTCCAACTTGTGAGCAACATTTGACACCACATGGAAGCAAAAGGAGGTGGTATCGGTGATGAGCTTGACCACACACCTCTGTGTGGTTTAGACATGCATTTGGTCAGTTTTTTAGCTGCTCAGAGACAGGAGGGAAATCTCTCTTACCTGTGTCATCTGCCATAATTGCTCTGCTGCCCCTTAACTTTGTAGTTAGGTGCTTGTGTCATCATTGCAATTCCTGTTGTGTCAAATACCCATTACCCAAGAGCTGCACCACAAGTTGAAATGAGTATACCCATAATCAAAAGCAAACCAATCGGGTGCCCTTCTGTGCCTCAAGGAACAAGTACACAAATACTGTCACACCAAAACTTAGTTACCTGCCATTTCCAGCCAGTTTTCACTTCACAGGTAGAGCCTCTCTTCAAGGAGTGAGTGGGATTAATGGCTCACACAATCTTCCAGGTGGTCTGTCATCACCTCAGATGCACATTATGCAAATGAAAATAAGGTGCTTGGTACTTACCTCCCTCTGTACCACATACACAGTTGATTGATGAAAAATATCACTGCAACAGACATTTGGAGCTTCTGGACAATGCATCCACATTGCTTTGAAAAAAATCTTTGAAGTCTTTTAGCAAAATTAGTGATTGCAGCGGATACAAACATGTACCAACCCGAGAAAGCACTAGAAAAGAAGTGTGTGCAACTGTAGGAAATAGTAACTTCCTCTGCAGTTAGCAGAAATTTTTCTTTAGGTTGTATCCCTCTTGCAAGCTCTACCTGAACACCTGGGTTTGCAGGAGGTGGCACAAACGTATTTCCATGTGGTGATCAACCCAAGTCTGTCCTCTAAAATGCGAATACAGTGAAGATCACTGTGAGAGATGTCTGGGTTTGTTAGTCCAAAACGACAGTTTTCACCAAGCCCTGGGTAGGTGTTATCCATCAACTGAATTAGAAGATATAAATCAGAATTACGCTCTTCACATTTAAGAGGAAGGAGAAGAAATTATGTCCCTTAAGTCCAAGATGGGAGCACTTCAAAAATCAGCTAACATCTATCAACTGTTTATAATATATGCTGAAAGAGAAAAAGAGTTCAGCTCTAATTTTAAAATGATATATATGAAGTTTCTCAACTGTCAAAACCATATGCGCAAGAGGATTCCCACATACTGGCATCTGTAGAAATCAGACGCATCATTTCATAATGCATAAAAGCTGGATGACTTCACCAGCTTTGTGAAAATTGAAGTAGCAGAGAACTGAAGTTCCTAGACACATACAAACCAAGAGGGCACATCAGCAAAGCAAGGAACAACTGTAAAATAGTAATTGAGAAGAGAAAAGCACAACTGGACAGACTACAGTCCTTAGGAACGAGCTGTATGAATAGCCATAGCACTATTTTATTTATTAACTCTTTCCCAGGGGCATCAGAACAAGCTGAACCAAATTCTTAAAACTGGAAGGTAGTGGAGGCCTTTTGCAGCTGTCACGCCTGCCGTAAAAACAGCAGCTATTTGACATTCGCCATGTAGTTACCATCTTCATAAAATTCGTAAAAGAACTTCAAAATGTTCCCAATTTACTGCACTACAAAGAAAAATTAAAGGTATTGACTGTATGTGAGCAAAGCTGTTCATGAATTTCAATATAATGTCATCTGTTCCCTGTACAGTCTTGTCATAGAGCTGGTGTTTTTTAAACCAAAAAAGACCAATATGCCAGAGCACTGTATCAGATTGTTTCATCTGCTACATTAAAGGACTTTAATGACATCATTTTGCAGTCGTCTTCCAATCTTTACTGTGCATACAGGTACAGTATCCTCATCCATCCCCTTTGTTACCCGAATAAAACAGAAAATGTTTATCTTAAGTTTTACAAGCCTTGCTGTGCATTTGACTTTCATGCTCCAGTAATCTTCTTAACTCCAACATGGGGTGAATGAACAATATACACGCCTTTAAGTATTTTCCAGATCCTTCAGGGAAGCAGCTTTCTTCTTCTTTGTAGTTATCAGGCTGAGCTGTAATTAAAAGCAAGCAGATAGTTTCTTGCACGATTTTTTGTAAAATCAAAGTATCACTAGAGCTTCAATGTGGAAAATGTCAGGAAGGAGAGGGAACAAGTGTAGGTAAGTGGGAATTTGGGGTAAATAGGAGCATTTACAGTAGATGAGTACTGCTCTTGTTTCAGATCTCAGAGAATTCAAGAAGATGAAAGATTAGGCAGCAGGGGTACACTTTAAAGACATCTACATAAAATACACACATTTTAAACCTTTGCAAATGTTATCCTGCATTTTTTGTTTCTTATTGAATTACTGTTATTTAATAATAAGCTAAGATTTATAGTCACTGAACTAGCCACAATAAAAATGTAATTTCTAGACTCCCTAATAGTCCAGCTCTAGCCTACACTGGATTTAATTTTACAAGTAAGCTGGATAATGTAATAAGAATAGACAGTTAAGTCAGAAAGTAGACCTCAGCCTACTCAGGTGAGCATTCAGTTTTCTGAGAGCTAGAAGACAATAAATGCCTATATGCTGAAGAGCGGGCTTTCTTGTAGCAGTACTGGAGATTGCTTTTTCCAGACTTTAGTGGGAACAGCACTGGTATGTCTTTGTTTTGGCAGGGGGAGGAGGGGGCTTGGCACAGACGTCCTTCAGTCGCTACAAAGGAGCTGTGCCTGACAGCTGGCAGCAGTAACCTCTGCCAAGCCTGAAGAGGGCAAGGCAGTTCTGAAGACTGGCAATAAGGTCTGGACAACAATTTAGATGCTAAATATCTTGTCAAATCTCTTTGGTACCTTTCAGAGGGAGACTGGTGAGGAACAGTTAATTACTGATGTTTTCAGGAACAGCAAGACCTCTACCTACATGGACACCAAGGCCAGGAATTATTCCCTTGAAAGGCTATTTGATCATGTTTTTTAAGGGAAGAGGGCACGTCGGAAGTATGAGACCTGAACAGCTCCATTTAACAAACAGGAGGCAAAAAAATATAAGTCATTCTTTCAGAGCAGATCTTCACCAGCTGGGTAGACCCTGTCATGACAGAGAGCATTTACAGCCAGGAAACTCAGCTTATGTTTTGATAGCTTGGCAGCTATGCCCATTTATTCACTGCTGTTGGGAAAAAATGCCCTTTGTCCTAATTGGACAATTTAGATCTACCAAACATTTCCTCTCTTCAACCCACATAGGATCACCCCCATTAAAAAGCTGTAATTTGCAAATGGGTTTCCTAAATCACTAAAAAAATCAGGAGGCAGAAAGACCACCTCTACTTACTAGGAAACCAACTTAAGTAACAAATTTGCTTGGCAAAGAACTGAACCTAGTGTATAAACCTGCCATGGGATTTGTTTCAAGATGTATAGCTTGATTGGTATGGAAAAAAGATGCTGGATGGAAAAAACCCACCTACTGTTGTCCAACAGAGAAAATACAGAATTACAAGTAGCACAGGGTTTATACAACTAAAGCCTGATGTTTCTCTCTCTGAAGAGAAGAAAACATTTCCTCCCAATATCCCTGATGTCTAAAAATACTGAAAACAGTACTGCTCAAAGCTGGCACTGAGTGGTGAGAGAACTGGAAAAGGCAGCAGCAACAATTCAGTTCATGAAGTGATCACAGTAGTGCACAAGGTCTCGGGCATATAAATGGCCCTAACAGACACACCTTGTCTAAAGCTTTCAGAATCACTGAACATGTACCAGGCACGTTTCCTATGGTAGTGAGATGCATCCACCACCCCTTCCTTCCCCCATCCCCGGGGCCTGGAAAAAACCAAGTATTTCCTATTCTGTCTGCACAACTGTCGGTATTTTTGACATTACAGGACTTACTGCATCTGTTACACACAACTGATGGTAACTGGAGTGGGGTGTGGGACGCAGCTACTGGAGGCTACTAATGAAAATGGGGGTGAACAGACAAGAAGTTAACAACTTGGGAGGTTTGTGTGACATGGCAGAAGGTACACTCAGGGTTGCAGCGTGATGAACAACGAACAGGTCCCCATTATCACTTCCGTCTCGTAACCACTGCGTGCCATTTCCCCACGCTCTTCATGCAGCCACACAATGAATTAGACCAGGGAGCTTATTTGGCTGAAAAAACCTACAAACAGAATTCCCAGAGAAGAGCCACGCTGCCTGGCAGGTTGTATAAAGGCAGTTCCCTAGCCAACAACTCCAGACAAGCTTTGTTTTAGAGCAGACTCCCCAGGAGACAGGTGCAGGAATTGGCACATTTGCTCCTTACCACGTGAAGCCATCGTTTGTGACTGCTACAGCAGGTTACACCAAGTTAAAAAACCTGGCTTGATGGGAACGGGAGCCACAGTTATTGACTGAGGTTTTTTTCTCTTTGCTAACTTGGTGTCATTTCTGAAGAAGGAAATGATCATACACCTTCATTCACACATTCTGAACCATGCAAGTGTAATTCGCATCAAATTTGTTTCCATAAACAAATTTATACTGTCACTTAAGCATCCTGTCAGAAGGTGGCATTTAAATGAATATGCATCAGTTTTGTGATGACGCATCCAAGTACAAGCTTGTTAAAATTACATTAGTAATAGCGCACATAAATGATTACCTCTGCCTCAGGAATGATACAAAGTGAACATTTTTGTAATATCCAATAGGATTTTTTAAAATGCACTTAGATAACATGTTTTTTTTGTTTGTTTTGTACCTTTTGAGACGCTGTAGCTGCCCTCTGTTCTGCCTGGCTCAGTCGCTTCTGAAGCCTGTTGACGTACTCTCGATATTCCACCATTAATTTTTCATCCTGTGTAAGTGAAATATCTCATTACAAACACAGAGTGCTTTTTACTGGATCCCCACACACTGTAGTGAAAAAGCCTAAAACAAGAGGAACTTAAGCAGTGGAACTGTTTACCAGTTACAGTAAGACTGAAGACATACTGCTGACACATTATAGAGAATTTCCAGCTCAGTTATGACATAGGACTGTTCCAATCAGAGTAATCTGCAGAGGAAGTTTTACTCGTTTCACCATCTTGAAGTAAGATGCATAAAAGCTGACATTTTAATCCAGGTAATTTAATTTACACAATCTTACAATGTAAATGTTTTAGCTATACTCAAAGGGAAGAATATACTAGATAATACAAATGAGATGCTAATCTTGCTACATGTTTCTTCTGTTCTCTTCAAAGGGTGTGTATAAAGTCTTTCTTACCCATTCTTTACTTACAGAAATCTATTCTTGTATCAGCCCCATTTTTCTCCTCGAAATAATACAGCACTACAACAAACAATGCAGAAGGACTTATCCTAGATAGAACTGGATGTTATCCCAGATTTATGAGTCTGACAGGATAGCTGTTTTCTAAAGTGGCTATTAATTATTGAACAATGCACATTCAAAAAACCACCCTACCCTTAATCTGTAATGGATAATGCTTTTATCTATATGCATATATGCACACACAGTGTAAATTCTACTATACACAGAGTACGCTGAGAATTTGGTATCTCTGCATATGCTACATTATCTGTAACGCAGTGCCTACTCCTTTTTAGAGGTACACATGCATGCACAGGCATAAGTGACTTCAGAAACATTTCCTGAATTGCCTAAAATTGCTAGATTAGTAACCTTGAAAGATGATCTCTCATTTATCTTTTCTTGTAATTTGAGAGGAAAGTTCATTTGTCTTCCTGCCATTTGAACATGACAGCAGAAACAGTGGGGTTTTCCAGTTATGAGTACTCCTGTCAAAAATCCTTAGTTTTTTCTAAACCAGCAACATAACTCATTTAAATAGGTTTCTGTTAAGATCCCCGTTTACGTGCAGCAGTTTGTAACTGAAAGTATTTGTCACATCAGTCATTATCTTACCTCAGTTACCTTTTCATTTGCCATTTCCAGCTGAGAAATGAGCTCCTGGTTACGAAGTTTCTGTTGACTCAGCTCACTTCTATAAATCAGAAGAAAAGATGCCAATAAACACACAGTACTGCATCAGTTATAGGAATAGTTTCATAGGTACCTTCTTGCATTGTAGGAGCTTATGGTATATTTTTAGTTACAGCATTGCTCTTAAAACATTGATTTCAAGAGCACTACACAGCTAGCACTTCTTCATGTGTATTCAGAACTATAATGGCAGAGGAACAAGATGTATTCGTTGAATCAACAGGACTATGTAAAGAGCATCTGACATCTCAGAGGTTTTTTCAACTTTACCGAATCCTGTTTTGCAGGTATGTTATCAAATACGCTATAAATGTAAGCTGCATTTGCACAGTGCATTCAATATTTAGACTGACATTCTAATTAGTGTCCCCATAATCAGACTTGAGTGTGGACATTTTTGAAGGTGCTTTGAAGTACCTGAAACCTAATCATTCTATACCTGTGAGACAGACAACAGTGTAACACTTCATGAGGAAAAGGAAAATGTCACCTTCTTCAAAGCGGTCTTTTTACTTTTATGCTGAATGAGTTTTAATGATCCTGAATTTGTATAGTATGGAAAACAAAAAAAAATAATGTGTTATGGTAGACATCTTTTGAGTTGGTGCTCAAAGGAAACAGGTCTTGCCTCCTGTCATCACAAGCCACTGAAGAAGGAAAAATATCTGACCTTCAGTAACTTTAACCAGAGAAAGATGCAAAATTGAATGAGCTGCTCTAACCTTTGACTATTCTCTGCTCCACTAGCAACAGCCACCACAAAAAGTGGCACAATCCAGATTCTTGCCACAATTTCACCTTCTATACTGAGGTTCAAACATACTCGTGAAGAAGAATTTTCAAATCTATTCTCACTTTACCTTCCTTTCCCAAGTTGAAAGTATACTGAAATGCAACCACTTTCATGAATATGTAGCACATCGACAGCGCTCGGAAAGCTGAGAGCTAACCTTTAGGCGTTCCACCTATTACTGAAACTACATGCCCTGTAATGAAAGCTAAAGCCTTTATTCTTTCTGGGGGAAGGAAGGTAAAGTAGAAAATAATTTATCCTCCAATCTTCATCTTAAAAAGCCTCTACTATTTTAATGATGACATCTAGTTCTCAAAAATAGTTTACTCTTAAAAGCATTAAAACTGAGTATTTCAGAAAACTTTGACTGAAAACTGCTATATGGTACTTGAAATACAAGGTTGCAATCCATCTGTTAACACAAGGTTGCGAATATACCCCTTTAACCAATCCCAGGTAGAGATCATAAACAGTTCAACATCTTCTGACTAGCTGCTGTAGAGATAAGAGGATGTAGGAAGATATTTAAATGACGTGAAACAGTTAAAATTGCATATAGATTATACCTGTGTTACCACATGTGAACATTTTAATATAGAATTAAAGATGGATTAAAATTGCAGGATCAAGATAGTATGTTAATACTGAACACTATTATTGTAATTTGTCCTCTGTAATCAGTACCAAGCATCAAGACAAAGCATTTTCAATATAAAAATTCTAATGAACAACTGTTTTTTGAAAGTTCAGTTTTTATAAACTGTTTTATTAGCAAAAAAAGAAACTTTATACAACTCCTGTCATATATTTTCATATATACCTTCTAAAAATAAACTCCCTAGAAAACACTAGTCATTACAATGTGTAGACTGCTTATGTTCAAGTTTAACTATGCTAGTAAAAAAGGCTTTGAAAATAAGGAAATTCTTAAATTCTGACAAACTGCCTTCATTGTTATGTCATCTTGGAAGACTACCCAAATAAATTAATTTTCCAAATTCAAAGTTCGTAGTTACTGAAAACAATTTGTCTTCAATACTTGTACTCAGGTGTGGAATTAGCATTCTTAGCAGCAGAGGCTATAAACAGAGTTTACAGGCTCATATACAGCTGCGTATCAAGAAATTATTTTTATAATTAGATCACACTGCACACGTACTTAAAGAAAACAGTTTAACCTTGTAAGCATAAGGAAATGTGATGACTACTGAGCTAGACTGTTGATTCATTCTGATTGTTAACCCTCCCCCAAACACACATTAGGAGATTTTAATATTAAAATTGAGCAGTAACCCCAACTGCTGAATAATCAAATCAGTCCCTACTCTATATTGTCTTTGTTAAGTGAGTAGGAAACAAAAGGTGAGCTTTTTTCATTTTGGCAGACGGGTGATAAATCTGGCAGCTGTAGCAAGTACATTCTGCAAAACTCTCATATGACAAATATAGCATGTGCCAGCTGTTTTTTCAGTTGAATTATACTATAATATGCTTCAGTTACTCTTAGTAATTATGAATTTTGTATACTGCCAGTACCTGCAGCTGTCTCTCATCCTGTTAAATTTTTTTCTTTAATGAACATCTTAAAATAAGCAGCGATGGCTGCCAAACATTACAGAAGTGCAGCCAAGAATAATGTTTTAGAAATGGAGGAAACTTCTTCATCTCAAGATGCTGTGCGGTTCACTCAATGTACTGTATAGGATGCAGAGAGAAGGAGAAGGCAGTCCTGGCCAACCCTTCATACACAGGCACCAAAAAAGGTCACTCTTCAGCAGCAGATTCTTTTCAATTATAGGAAAGATAAAACTGAGAACTCCAAAACCCACACATGGCTACCGATGAGTCAGGGACTCTAACTATGACACAGAGATGTTTCAGAAGCAGAAACTGGAACAAAGACACCCAAAATAGCTGCAATCAGATGACTTAAACTAAGCAAACTATTTAAATTTAAAACCAATATGGCAAGGATTCCCTTTTTGTAAGAACTGACAACTGAAATTCAAGTGAATATTAAAAAAAAAAGAAGCCATTCAATATAGTTGTTTGAATATAATGGGTTATGTTACAACAAATAGTTTTTATTTTTTCCTCAAAAAGTTGTATCTTACTAGACAATAGAAGCATATGGTTAAGATTATTTTTACCAATTTTTTCACAGTATTAGTATTAAATTTTATAACTTTTTTTTCTTAGTTAAGATTTTTAAAGCTCCTCAAATGCATTGTTACATGGAAGTAACTTCTAAAGTACTTTACCCTCTTTATCATTTAAGCTGATGTTTAGAAATTGTCTCATTTACTGTTCGTTTTGTAGATTTATTTATATTTGTAAAAAGAGACCAGACTTGCCCCTACCTACTACTACCCATATTCAGGCTAAACTGTACCATAAAGGAGCAATCATCCACCTGTCCAACCAGCCAAAGTACTATTCACAGCAAAACTGAGAGAACTGTCAATTTCCTGTGAGGTTTTCAAGTTATAAGATCTACCTTTTCCCATCTTCAGTTCTCAAGATCATCTCCACTGATGGGCACTCTGTGGGTAACTCAGTCATTTGATTGAATACGACACTTTGCTTATCAATGTGAATCTTGGTCTGATGATCCCTGGTCTAACCAGAAGCCTGTTCAATAACAATACGCTCTTGGTGTTGGCTACTGGTGAGGAGCCTGGTAAGGTTTTATGTGTAACCACTGCTCATCTGCAAAATTCCCTCCCAACTCACCCTAGTTCTCATCTTCATTCTCAGGATTAGAACATAAAAATCTATGAATAATACTGATATGCCAGTTAGAAGGGATTAGCCATCTATTACTAGCTGTATTACCACCTTTTTATTTATTTGTTTAACCCAGTTAACATAAGTACAGACCAGTCAAAGAGAATTAGAGAATACACAAATAATCTGCCCTTTTTCTTTCAGTAAATGTTGGCAGATCCAATGACCCTGTTTTAACTTAAATTCTATTGTCAGAACTTTCCCTCTCGCCCCCTTCTCAATCTATCCTGTATTCTGTTGTTACTGAAGTTTGCTTCCTTCCAATGTACCGATTTCCTTAAATGTTCCTTTGTTATTACTGATTTCCCTTTCTATCTCTGTGCCCATTTATTATCCGCAGCTTAAGTCTGGAGAACTGTATAGCTTTATACACAGTGCTGTAAGGTCCTAAGAACAGACTTAGACAGTCTCTTCCCCTCACATACGGCCATAGGAACTGGTTTTCTAGAGTACCGATTATACGTTATACTTCAGTGAAAGCAAGAGCCTTTAAAAGTATGTGTATGCATTCACTGACAGCGATCTTAGAGCTTACAACTTCACAACTGGAAGTTCTACACCCTGTAGATCAGGAACAGCAACAAGAATATGGATTGATTCTATTTCTCACCAAATTCCACACAAATTTGGGGAGAAGCGACACTGCAGATCAAAATAACTTTTTAAAGTTTAAACCTAATTCCGATTTGGTTATTTAGATTACTTAAACAATGTTCCAGATATAGGGGGAGAAAAAGATCAAATAGAAACTCGTCAGTGTCAATTACTAATTAATGAACATGTAATAGTTATTCACCGAGTCTTAAAAGCTTTGTATTATGAAAAACATTACCTTTAGAAAGAAGTTTGCTAATTTTACAGAATTTCTACACTGCTCTCCTGACTACTTTCCATATAAACCCCTATAAAGAATACGAAAGATGACTTTTTGCCTCTCAGAAGTTCATTCTCCTGATTCTTCCTGGTCAGAACGGACTTGGTGGCCCAATCTCAGACCAGCAGAGATGAAGCTGTCAGAATGCAAGCCTGGCAAAACACAGCAAGTAGCCAAACCAATTCAGCTAAAATTGTTAATATGCATTTCCATCTCAAAAGCCACATCTGCCCTTTGGTCTTGAGGGGACTGACCCAGCTGGCAGGTAAGCCCCCATCCAGTTGCTTGCTCACTCCCCCACCAGAGGAAAGGGGGAGAGAACTGGAAGGCTACAGGTGTCAAAAAAACTGTGGGTCAAGGTGAAGACAGTTTAATAAGTGAAGCGAAAAAAAAAAAAAGTCACACAAATGCAATCACTCATCACCAGCAGACCAGTGCCCAGACAGTATCCAAACACTACTGTAGAAGAATATCCTCCCAGTTTTACTGGTGAACATGATGCCATATGGTCCAGGATATCCCTTCAGTCAGTTGGGGTCAGCTGTCC